GTAATAGAGCAACTTCTAGTCGTGTGCTGGAGACATTTCCTCCCATTATTATTCACATCTAATTTTCTGAAAAGAAGAAGAAGAGCGTTGATGAGAGAAGTATTCCAACCAAGAAAAACTATGTTTCATTATCTTTATTTTTCTATTAATCGCGTACCTGTGTCTAGGGCTGATTCCTGTGTTTGCGACCCACTTCCTTCCCCTCCCAATAACTCAAGTGCGACCCAACCATTGAGGACCTTTCGACCCCAGGCCCTTTTTGACCCCACCCTCCGCTTTATGAGGTTTCACGGTAGCTCAAATCCCACATGTATATGAAACTTTCCTTCAAGTAGGTCCTCTACATGTGTTGTTTAACGGATGTGCTGATAATCAAAGGTCTGTCAAGGGATCTCTAGTCAACACAACTGTCAATCACAATAACACTTTCATGTCAATGATTCTTTTATTGACGCATCCCACCCGAGTTTTAAGCCAAAAAACTCCACGAATTACTTACGTGTTCTTTTTTCTGAAAGTTATTCCACAGCATTCGTTGAGTTGTCTGTCTGCAAGAAGTTCAATGAGAGGAGGGCGTCGTCTTGCATTTCGTTCCTAACGCGGATATTTTGTCTTCGAGAATAGACACAGAATGGAGTGGATATTATCGGTAGTTCCCGTCGACACAGGGACCTTTCTCATTTTTTGATTGCAATTTTTGCATTAGACTTTTATGGTTCAACCCCTACTGTCCACGATTTTCTGATGCAAAATACGCCCTTAGGGAATACAACGGAGTCCACTCCAGTCCAGTCCACTGGTTTCGATACTATTACTACTACGTTTCATCCTTGTTTATCCCCTGCTTACGTAAGATGTTACGTATTCATAAATCGGAGGATTGATCAAGAAAATCCGCAATTCGCCAACCTGGTAGCGGTCCGTGCGACGTTCAGTAAACCGATTGTTCCATCGTAGCAGATGGCAGGACAACAGTGTAAAGTCAGAACCGAAAGTGGTCATGGATGTCTACGATGACAGGGTCTACATGAAGTCCGGTGCTCCAATCGACAGGTTAACACGAGTTAAGAAAACGCCGTGCCCATTGCCGCTCGGCGGAGCGGCAAATTACGGTTCTCTTGCCCGTCTCCCGAATTCGAGTCTCGCCACCTCACCCAGTTATGAACGAAATGCCGAGGGAAGACAAAAGAGTGGAGTTCTCTAGGGGGCTTCAGCCAACAGTAATAAAAGAGTACTTATCGATCGATAATGGGCTTATTATGGTGTCCTATTGGTGAACGTGCCTTTAGCTAGATGTTATTCATTATGCGATGGACTTCGATAAATCACTGACTGGTGGGAAAAAAGTCTTCTCCAGCGTAATCCATTAACTGCTGACAACAAATTTTTCTCTTGAGCATCATGTGCTCACCCATGGATTGAAATAACCACCTAAATTCTAATATTACAACCAAAGCTATCAGGAATGTGTCCGCTAAGGCTTTTAGTAGGTTAGATAGCCTCGTCAATGGATGTACTGAATTGGTACTTCGATTATAGATTTCCACCTCTTATCTTTGACATGGGCGTGGCAAATCAAGATACTATGTCTTCTTGTAGAAACTTTCTTCACTGGCACTGGTAATATAATATTAACTGGCTCTGCCGCGACATCAACTATGCGCTAACCAGGGCACGGTGTAGGATCCTCAGCGGGGTCCCGGGGAGGGGAGGAGGGGGGGGGAAGGAGGGGTCGCAATCGCCTTTGAGAAGGTTTGTTCGGTTAGTTCCTTTTTAATTTATTTTGTGTTTGTCTAGTGACCTTTCTGGATTTCTCCCACTCCACGTGCTCTATACACCTCCCCCTCGACACTGACGGCAGTTTTCTGGGAAAAGCTAGATGGAGAATTTTTGGAAAAAGCCGTGAACAGGTAGTACGAAGTTGAAAATAAGGGGATGGAAGTAGGGTGGGAAATGGGGAAGGTGGAAGGAGTCATACTAGAGGAAAAAATTTCAAAGGGAGGGGGGAAGGCATCGTATTTTGGAAGGTTTTCCAATACGGTAAGGCGTGGCTTGACGGTAACTGTCCGCTGGCGGCCCCTCATCGAGCTTCTTCTACTCTTCGATTTTCCATCTCCCAATGTGGGTGCAGTCCGTCCTGGTTGGAACATCCAATTTCGAGGCTTAGTCTTGTTCATCGATGTTGAACGCGGATTCTCTTCTAGTAATCCTCTCAGTTGATCGTTACCAACGTTCAGTTGTCACCTACCACGCTCACCATCTCTACTGAAGCTCTCATCGTCGTGATAAGTTCCTCAAACCCCGTGCAGTACGTGCGCTCGTTGTTCCCAGCCCTAACCATCCCAACCTTCATTGACAACCCAAGCCGGTTCTTCGGCTTTCCTGCACATTCCGAAATGGAATGGAGGAATTAAGCGAGCTTGTTTTCATTTATGTTAATTTCGAGCCCGGTAAACAAGAAGAGTTTCTCCAGTTTCTTCTA